AGAGGAACAAAAACTACTACGTGAAACAAAGAAACTACTACGTGACTCAATACAATGACTAAACAATAATTATGAATTGACTATGACTTCCGATAGACGGGAGGACTTCGCGGCAAATTCGGGTTCCATTTTTCTTACTCGGGACTTGCCCTCGTAGACCTCGACCCTATGCCGACTTGCCTCCAACTCTTTACCTAACTTTTTAAGGTGTTCAAAAGAGGCGATTTTCACCAGGCGCAAACCCTCCGTATAGAAAGGGGCTAAGTTTTTCACAGTCATAGATAGCTTCCATTCGTCCTGTTTCGAGTACTCCTTATCGAGACCCGCATCCAGCCTTCCGAATAGTGAACGCATATTGGCCACAAAGGTACCAATATTTTCGTCCGGACCCTGCTTCCTGGCTCTGATCTCCTCCATCAAGTTGTCATAATAGTTAAGCGGAAGGAACTCCTTCCGCAAGGCAATCTTAAACTCCTCCCAACTATCAATTGAAGCAGATACAGAGCGGAACCAGTTCCTAGCATCTCCTGTGAAAAACTCAGAGGCAGCAGCAACTAGGCAATCGGGATCGACCCGACGCCATTTAGCTTTCTCCTCTATATCTATTATAAAGCTGCAGACACTGACCGAGTTATCGCCCGAGAAGGGTTCGACGCCCCACTTATGCAGGTCGACGGGTACCCTTTTGGACAGGTGAACCTTAGATTTAGCAGGCTCGGAGTCAGAGCTTGAAGAGCCACTGTCTGAGCTAGAACTAGAGGATGAAGCACTAGAACTGGACACCGAACGCTTGTGAGACTTTTTCTTACCCTTCTTCTTGCTTTTTCGAGTCTTCCTCGAGGATTTCCTTTCAGAGTGGGACGGCGCCTTGGGCTCCTCTTTACGGCCTACCACCCCTACAGGTTTCCCCTTCACCCGAACAGGGACCTCTGGCTTAGGGACCTCCCAACCCTCTACTCGGGACACGCTCTGAACCTCGGTAGCAGCGTAAACTGCTGTATCGCCATAAGCCCTAAACTCATCTGCCAAAGTCTTCAACAACTTTGCATTCTTCTTCAAGTTGTCCCGGTCCTCGCCTTCCCAACGGCCCATCCGACCGGAAGTTAAAAACATCAACCGTCTGTTACTATGAGAGATTAACGCTCTCGTACGGGCGGCTGTAGCGGGATCAAACTCTCCCGAATCAGGCCTAACAGACTCCATCAGAGCCTCGATTTTTGTCTGAAACTGGATAAGGGCCTCATCCCTATCGATATTCGGCATATCGGGATCAAAAGCCTCCCCTGCCTTCTCCCGCTCAATCAAATCTTTCAAGATGGGGCGCAACTCGTTGACAGTCTTCCCCGCAGCATAAAGATTTGTACCCCTAACGGCACACTCAAACAGCAACTCCTCCTTCCAGAGACGTGAGACATCCATGTTAACACTGTTGAAGTCCACTCACCGGTTGAAGACTGCTCCACGCAGAATAAATGTAGAATAAAAAAATAAGAAGTAAATCGCCAGCCGACGATCCACAACACAGCTCCACTTGATAAAATGATGAAATGCCTCCCTCCGACGACTGCCACAACTGCCAAACTCGCGACCTCGGACGATAAAATAAACATATATTAGCAAGGAATAAATAAATAAGTAAAACCCTACAAAGTGCAGAGTATTATTATAGAATTAAGATTATAAATATTATATAATATTAAACAAGAAAACTTAACACTAATAAGTTATAACAAACCAAGTAACAAAGTTAACCCTCAATGGTTAACAGTAGGCAGTCCAACCCCTCTTCATTAGGGTGAACCAAATCTAACCTCTCATGACCAGCTTTGCCTATGGTACCGCAGTACAGAAACACTTTGATTATATTATTAATAACAAACTCGTCGTGGGAGTGAACAACTCGGACACCTGAAGGTTCCAAGGACCTGATATATATGTTGAGAGACAAGACACTCTCACACCTGGACGCCTCCTTGCTGATTTTAGGTAAGGGCAAAATTTCACATATGGTGACAGCGCACTTAAGTCTTCTCAAAAGCAAGAGAGACTTATGAATGTTAGACTGGATGCGTTTGACTGGCAGACCTTTCAAAATGTCGTTCGCACCAATCAAGAGGATCACTCGTTGACCGCGTAACTCCTCCCGCAACCCAACCAAAACTTTATGAAGCTGCGAAGACGTCTGGCCACTCAAGGCAGTCTTCCAGCTCAGAGCTGAGAACAGCGTAGGGTTGCGCTTCATGAGCCTCCGAAAAATAGAGTCTCCCAGTAGGACGGGCAAAGTCTGGTCCGGACATACAGACATCGCCCCCCAAAAGCACTCAAAAATCAAAAGATTCTAAAGTATCAAAGTGAAAGCCCAAAACAGAACTCAAAGAGCGCCGGTAAATAGATCAAAATCTAAGTGAGAAACAAATCCGTCCACTCCCGACGACCCTCACACAACACACACACAACAGTGAAACCACACTCACAAGACAGTAGAAAGAAAAGAATGAGATAGAGAAACGTAACAGTAACAAGAACACAACTAGTTGCCTACCAAGTTAAAGCAAAAACAATTACACTCCATGACCAGCAAAACAAAATAAAAAAACAATGCCGTGAGGCCCCACGTTATTGGGCGCCAAAAATGTAACGTGTACATTGTGTTGTGCTCAAGGCAGTATAGCCGGCTAAGCTCAGCCCCCATTGGTAGAGTGGCGTGAGTAGATTTGCATTATTTTTG